GTTTAAAGAATGGCATGCGCAGGGCACATAAAAAGCCCTTGGATATTTTTCAAGTATTCTATTTTGAACACCCTTTCTTACTCCTTTCATATTGGCTCTGTTGTCATAGCCTTGTCCCCTAAGCCACTTTAACTCAAAACCTAATTTTTCCAAATGTGTCAGAATAAGTTTTGCCAAACCTTCTCCGGTTGAATCACTAGCTTCAAAAAAACCAATAAAGAATTCTGCAATTTCATATTTATTTTGAATGGAGTTAAAAGTAACAACTCTTATTGTTAAGGAGAGCTGTTCATAATGAATGACGTCGGGGGTACAATCAGCGATTATAGAAAAATATTTAGCGATTTTTGTTATTTCGTCAATTTTTCTTAAAATTGAATTTCCCATTAAATATATCAATTCATCTTGTATATTATTGCTTAGATAAGTCACTGACCATTTATCAGACTCTCGTTGAACTCTCCTGATATGTTCTTCCATAACTGGATCAAACTCAGAAAGTAATTCTACCAACTTTAGGAAGTTCCCGTTATTAGGTTGAAACAAATGTTCAGTTGATCCACGAAAAGCTAAACATTGTGAGCCCAATAGTTTAATTATTGACATAATTCTTTTTATAACTCCTCTCCAATGCTGAAGTTCCATATCCATAATTCGTTGATATTCAGCGTCAATAGTTTTTTTCTGCTTCAATCGAATGTCCAATTCTTTCCATGCTCTAAAAGCATTTCTGTGATTTACAGACTTTTTGTGCATTGTGAGGGCTCTTTAAGATTTTTCCAGTCAGAATAGCCTTTTTTGGGCCAGTCACTAATATCAGACGAATTATCAAATAATATACAACAAAAGCAAAAAACGGCATCACTTGCAATAGAGTAAATAAGCCAACTTCTCTCAACGACTTCACGATTGCTCAACACTTTCGAATAATACGAGGGCAAAAATCTACGCTTTCCTTTATTAATAGGAAACTCGAATTCTTTAATTTGATGGGGACCCCTCTCAACCAGTAGTTGACGAGTTTGAGATGACATGCAGAAAGTAAGCCATAATGCAGGATCTGAAGGAATTTCTTTTAATACCTGCTGACTGCCACTGCTAATGCGGCCCGGTTCTTGATGAACTTCTGATGATGTTATTTTTTGGATCTCTTCAACAATTTTTTCTGGAATTGATTGGGGCGGCACCGTGTTTTTATTTGCCAAATCCAAGGCAGTCGCAATTGAATGTGCTGCCTGGCTGTTCATGAAGATCTGGTGGTGTTAGTATTTGGCTCTCTTCAACGTCTTCTTCTGGAAGTGATTGGGGCGGCACTGTGTTGTTATTTGCCAAATCAGTTGCTGCTGATGTGGAAGGCTCATCTAAACCGCACTTTTGTACTAAGAATTTCTTCATAACATTGCTGAGCTTTCTTTCTTGTTCCTCATTCTTTAAGCGTTTCTTTTTGTATTGACTTCCAGATAATTTTTTTCTTTTTTGTTCCATGCTGACGATTGCTGTCACTGCTGTAATAAAGTTTTGTAAAAATTTTGTAAGATCTTTGTAATGTCATCATGTTTTTAACAGTTAAAAACATGATGACATTACAAAGTTAAAATTTAACTTGCAAAGACAGGCAAACACAAACGTTTAAAAACGTTTGAAAACAGTATTTTTAAACATAATAAGAAAATAGTCCACGCTAATATGCGTTTCAAAACGTTTTTATTCATATTAAAAGAAATAGCAAAAGCGAATGCTAAATGAGGGAGAAATTTTTTTTTCATTTTTATAGAAAAATGTGGACAATGAAAAAACTTTTAAAGTGATAAAAACATTCACGAGTTTGGTAGTAATTAAAATTTAAATGAGTCCAGTTTATGATTTAGTACCTAATTATTATTGCAACCCTGAAATTGCATTTTGATTTCGCTACTTTACCGCCCCTTAATGGTGCCGCCTGAGGCGGCCGCCTCTTTGTATCATAGCACCGCACGGCCCTGAATTCAAACAAGTGTTCATTTGCATTAAAAAAAATGTGGCTAAAATAAACAAATCACAAAAACAAAACTAACAAACCTTATTTGAAAAACACTTAAAAAGCGTTAAAAAAAATAAAAATTTTGCTGAAATCCATTTCGTTTTAAGTATTTACTGATATGTTTTGGCATGGAGTTAACTTAACTTAGAACTATCTCTTTTGGAACAATATTCAGTAACTTTATTATTTATTCTTTAAGCTGGTCTAGGTTATTTATTTTAATTTTAACAAATTTTGATGTTGTTTTCTTCAAATAACTGCTTGCAAATCTTGGGGTTATCCATATAGTACGTACGCAAAATATTTTAAAATCTTACCCTAACCCTAACCCTAACCTGACCTCCTCCCTCCCCCTGTTGCCATGCTTACTTCTAAGTCCTTCTCCCCCTAAAACAGTACTTACTCTTTTAAAACACCCCCACCCATCCCAATTTTTTTATAATGAAAAAGTTTATGGAAAAAAAAAAGTGCTCCAACCAATTAGCCACAGCACTGCTAAAACCTATTTTTTGCCAACTCAAAAATTATATTGTCTGAAATACGCTTTACTCATGGCCAGTATATATGGGGTGGCATGTGTGTATGGGCGCCGCAGAGTTTTTTGATGTTCTTTATAGAACACTTTCACACATTTAGCATTTTGGCATACTTAGGTTTGGAGCTTGTGCAAGTTTGGAGCTTGCACAATCTCCAAACATAAGTATGCTTATGCTAAATGTGTTAAATTTGTCAAAGCTTTAAAATTTTAGTATAACTATGCCAAATGAGGACGCTTTGCACAAAATTGGAATGACGGAGGCCTAGGAACAAAAAAACCTAAAACCCTTGCGACCCCGACCCCCTACACACACACACACACACGCCCAAACGTGAGGGCACTAGTGTAGTAAAACTTCAATTTTACCATCTAAAACTAAATTTAAATTTATTGACAAACCTTAAATTTTGAACAAAATTATTTTAAATAATATAAGTTATGACCATACAAAATTTACACCCCGCCTCTTATTTTTTCAGGGCTTTTTTGCTTCCAGACCTCCGCCTTCTTAATTTTTTGCAAGGCCTCCTTGTTTAGCAAAGGTATGAACATACTTAAGTTTGGAATTTGCACAAGGTATGGAAGTGTTCTATCTGGAACATTAAAAAATCCCTTGCATGTGTGTGAATTGATTGAAACAATATCGTCTACTCCCTATACCAAACATCTTTTTATGTTGGCAAACTAGGATCTTTAGTCAGAATTTAAATTTTTCAATTGATTGGCTGGTTAATTGTAATAAATTAAAAAATTGATGTATGTACTTTTAAATTAACCCCCTCCCCCACCACCACCACCACCATACGCTTTTGTACGCTTTTTGAAGACATCTCTCTCCTCCTATCAGCGTACGTACATTATGGACGACCCCTTAGTAGTATGGAGCATTGCTTTGTTGAAAAATTCTTGTGTCTTTTGGGAAATTTCAATAGAAGGTATTAAGTAGTTATCCAATATGTCTGTATATCTTAAATAATTAGGCCATCCCGCGAATATTTTGAAACAACTGACACCTTCAAGTTCATGCAGACCCAGACGCCATTACAATCACTACCATGTCTTATTATATATGTCAAACAATTTGAGTCCATTTTTTCATGTAGATTTTCCTCAGCATTATTTGTTTTTTTCTAAAATAAATCTCGTTTATTTCATCTTTGAAAAGAATGATGTGTTTCAGTGTCATAGACCAAAGTTATTTGGTCTATGACACTATGGCACAAAAAAAATTTATTTATTAATTTTATTTTCAAAAAAAAACGCATAAGCTATCAGCTGAACGCAAGTTTTTTTTTGTCTTCTGATGTTTTATCAATAAATGTGATTTTTTACAAGCAGCTCGCCAAAGGTAAATGTGTTTTTGTAGTACTCATCTAATAATTTGAGCACCAGCAATAACACCTGATGCTTTTTGTTCTTATCAACTGAGATCAGAACATATTAAACTTCTATTTTTTTCACTACGCAAATAAGTGAATGTTTATTTCTTTTATTTAAAGTCTTTCAGGAAATGGAAAGTTTTGAATTTTATTATATCTTTATATAATAATACTGAACTTAATAGTAGTAGTACCCTTTCGAGCACGTTTGACATAAAACCCAACGCAGCCATTGCAACCGAGGTACTGGCGAGGAAGAGTCGCAGCACCTTTTTATAAGAAAACATTAACGAAAGTGTGTGCTAATAACTAACTTACGTAAACTTCAAAATGCAAAATGTCAAAACATACTAAAACATGTATCAAGTTTTTAAGTTTTACTTTCACTTGAAAACTGCATTGCGGCAACATCTCCTTAAATTTTGACCGATAGCTGTTTTATAAAGTTTTTGTTAAGTATATATTTTTAAAAATGTCATTAATAGATAAGACGGCGTAGCTTGGTGGTCAGCTTGCTGAGCTACTAATCAGGGGAGCCGGGGTTCAACTCCCGTGCGAGGAACTCTTTTTTTTAATCTTTTTCGATTTTTTTTTAAATACAAAACTTATCACTTTTGAATATGTATAGAGATTATATACTTAACAAATGTAAAAGTATTTTACACTTAAACAAACGAAAGGAAGAGAATTTTTAAAGAAAGCTTAAAAGTTCTAAAAACGTCAAAAAACAGGAGAAATTTGTTGCGCTTATTTGTCATGTTATTTTAGTTTTACATTTAAAGTTTTCTCCAACTAAGTTGAGATTATGCAAGAAAAATGGGTATATAACATGTATATATAGAATATAAAATCTATAAAACTATAAAATGCATTTAAAAAAAAAAAGCAAGCTGATGAACTTGCCACGCGGCGACCTAAAATTTTTTTAAAACAGTAACATTAAAAGAATAACTCAAAATTTTAAGTTTAGATTTAAAATAAATCATTTTATTAAATTTATTATTTTTTAAAATGAAAAAAAAGTTGAAACTATCTGATATCAAAATAATAAAATTTTTTTAGAGTTTTACAGCTACTTTACTACGCCCCAGTTAATTATTCTAAACCGAGTGCGCAACAATGACAGAATTAAGAAAACCATCAAAATAGTATGATACTCCGTATAATATTGGAAGAGTCAACTCGAACGCTTATAGCTCATCTGAACTGAACTGCACGAGGCATTGTAAAATGTGCAACCAAGATTTTTGTATTTCTTGAAATGACATATTATCTTCTATTATTATTGTCATAAATGATATAGTTATTGTTGTCATAAATTGTTGTCATAAATAGTATAATTATTGAATATATTTATATAAATAGTATGTATTTTTTAATCTGTTTTTAAAATTACTGAACTTTAAATTTCTAATGTTTTACATAATGAAACATTCTGTTTTATAGGTGTTGCATTGATTTTTGACAGGCTGATAATTTTATACAAGCTAAAGACGACCATTTTTTAAATATAAGTAAGTTTTTTTTTTGTTTTTTTTTTATTTGTTTTGAATAATTTTATGTAAAATATTCAACTTTGTTTTATATGAATCTAAGTATTTAGTAAAGTGTTATTGTGTGTATGTGTTAAGTGTTACAAAATATTGTTAGTTAATTAAAATTAAATAACAATATTTTGTTTGGTATTTTAATTTTAGTGCGACAGGTTATAACATATTGTAGGTTTTAATTTCTAATTTTTCTTCATCTTTAAAACTGATTAAGAAAAACATTAATTTTTGCTAATGTGATTGTGTTATTCTATTTTATGAGATATTTTACTAATAATTTGATTGCTCTAAATTATATTTACTTTTTCGATATTTATTTTAGCCAATTAAGTTGTAACAATCTCTGCAAGATTAAAATTAGGTTTTATAATTAAGTATGAAATTAAAATATCGTTTAGCAATTTCAATAAGAATAAGGATGTGGGCCCTTATCAATTGAGATAAGAGCCCACATCCTATAGTGTACATAGAGTGTGGGCCCAGAACAAGAAAAAAAGGTTTCCCTTTATTAAAGAGGAAGAGAATACTCTTATCTAAAGTTGTTGAAAAGATGTACATCCTGTTTCTACACTAAACACCATCAATATTTTAGTCAGCAGAACATGCAAAATATTAAAATAATTTGCTGCTGTGGCCGTGTTTATGATTCTCCGTGTCAGAATAATACTTTATTTTCAGTTTAGATTTTGTGAATACTTTAAATTGCAGTTAATAATTATTATAATAATCAACAATAATCACTGAATTAGGGGGTATCTAATAAGTACTTACAATAAATTTGTGAAAGAACTTCAAAATTGCTTTTTCACTCTGTATGTTTTTAATCGATAAGTCTATTTGTTCATTGATGTGTCCTTATCTGTTATTTTTTTTAATAAGAGGTTCTTATTTTTAATAAAAAGAAATATTCTTTTATTGTTGTTGTTTGTTTGTTTGTTTTTATAATTTTACCTTTTCTCATGATGGTAGAGTTATTTTTTATGTTTAACTGCATTTCAATTTAGTTGAATTTTATTTTTTTTTATTTAGTTTTACTTTAGTGCTCTACCAAAAATCATAAATTTACTTTATCTACAATAAAATATGGTTTTAACTTAAAGTAAACTTTTGTCATTTAAACTTTACTATGTTGATCATTACCTAATAGTGTAAAAAAAAAATTAGTACGTCGCAATCAAGGTTAGAATAATTTTTTTTTCTATTCTGTTGCTGTTTGTTTTCTGCAAACATTAAATACTTTTTAGTTTTCAGGTTTTTTAGTTTTTCTATACATTGCAAATTAGTTTCTATGTTATTGTTAATAAATTTCTTTATTCTATTTAGAAACATTAGAAAAATCAAATGTTAAGCAAAGTGCCATTATAATACATTTCTGTTTTATTATGTCAGTTAAAAAATTTATTTTTTTAATTTTTTTTTTTTTTTTTTTTTTGCTTTCACAGGATCAGTGTCAAGTAATGTGTTTTGCATACTTATGTATTATTTGGGTGTTCTGTGTATTAAAACTGAAACATATCATCTTTATATAATAATACGGATCTCAATAGTAGTAGTTCCCTTTCGAGCACGTTTGACACAAAACCCAACGCAGCCATTGCAACCGAGGTACTGGCGAGGAAGAGTCGCAGCACCTTTTTATAAGAAAACATTAACGAAAGTGTGTGCTAATAAATAACTTATGTAAACTTCAAAATGTGAAATGTCAAAACATACTAAAACATGTATCAAGTTTTTAAGTTTTACTTTCACTTGAAAACTGCATTGCGGCAACATCTTAATTTTGATCGATGGCCGTTTTATAAAGACTTTTATTTACTATATATTTTTAAAATTTGTTCAATCGTTCATAGTGGCATAGCTTAGTGGTCAGCTCGCTGGCAGCTGACCTGAAGAGCCATGGTTCGAATCCTACCTATGGCATGTTTTCTTTTTAAATTCATTTTCGATTTTTCTAAAGTACGAAATAAAGATTATGTATAGAGATTATATACTTAACAAATGTAAAAATATTTTACACTTAAACAAACGAAAGGAAGAGAATTTTTAAAGAAAGCTTAAAAGTTCTAAAAACATCAAAAAACAGGAGAAATTTGTTGCGCTTAATTGTCATGTTATTTTAGTTTTACATTTACATTTCTCCAACTAAGTTGAGTTCGCGCAAGGAAAATGAGTATATAACATGTGTATATATAGAATATAAAATCTATAAAGTGCATTTAACAAAAAAAGCAAGCTGATGATTTGAACTTGCCACGCGGCGACCTGAATATTTAAAACAGTAAGGGGGTTTTAAAAATGTATTTTTATTAAAAAAATATTTAAAAATTTTAAATTTAAGATAAATTATCTTATGAAATTTATTATTTTTTAAAATGAAAAAAAAGTTAAAACTATCGATATTTAGGTAATAAAAGTATTTAGAGTTTTACAGCTAATTTACAACACCCTTGTTAAATATTCTAAACCGAGTGCGCAACAATGACAGAATTTAGAAAACCATCAAAATAGTATGATTCTCCGTATGTGATTGGAAGAGTCAACTCGAACACTTTAAACTGATCTGAACAAACTGCGCCGAGGCATTGCAAATGTTTACTTGGTAAGATTTTTTTATTTCTTGAAATGACATTGTATCTTCTATTATTGTTGTCATAAATGATATAAATATTGAATATACTTAAAAAAATAGCATGTATTTTTGCATCTGTTTTTAAAATTACGGAACTTTAAATTTCTAATGTTTTACTTAATGAAACATTCTGTTTTATAGGTGTTGTATTGATTCTTGACTGGCTGTTAATTTTATACAAGTTAAAGACGACCTTATTTTGAATATAAGTAAGTTTTTTTTTTATAATTAGTTTTATGTAATTTTATTTAAAATATTCAATTGTGTTTTATATGTATCTAAGTATTTAGTAAAGGAATATTTGCCAGTGTGACCAAGCAGACGACATTCTGAAATATCTATCGAGGTTTGAGTCCAATCGTTAGAACCTTCTTTTTTTTTTTAAATTTTTTATTGGTTTTTTTAAAAATTCAAAAATAGAACACAATAAAAAGAGAACTATGAAATTGTTTTGTTTTGCTTTTTAAAAATTAAAGCTTTCCGCGACAAACTTTTTTTGAACACAGTCAGGGGGATAAAGAAAAAAAAATAAAAAAATAAGTTGTTTCTATTAAGAATATGAGTAAAAAATTTATTTTATATTTAAAATAAATCATTTTTTCCAACTTGGTTATTTTTAAAAATGATATAAAGTTAAAATAACCTAATCTTAAGATAATAAAAAAGTTTAAAGTTTCATATCTGCCCCCGTTAAACATTTTAAACCAAGTGCTCAACAATGACAATTCAGATAACTATCGAAATGGTATTATACTGTGTTTATAGTTTTGAAAGAGTCAACTCAGACCGCTATTAACTGGTTATGCACAAGGCATTTTAGATTTGCAAGCAGTAAGTTTTGTATTTCTTGAGATATCTTAGATTCTATTATCATTATCATATAAATGATATAATTGTTAAGTATGCTTTTATTTATATGTAGTATGTATTTTTTAATTTGTTTTTGAAGTTGCTAAAGATTTTAATGCTTTACTTAATGAAACAGTCTGTTTAGTAGGGGATGAATCTTGACAGGCTGTTAATTTTATAGAAGCTAATGTTGACCTTATTTTAAATATAAGTAAGTTGTTTTTTATTATTATTTTTTTATTATTATTGGTTTTAAATAGTGTTAGATATTCAATCGTATTTTTTATGAATCTAATAATTTAGTAGAGTGTTATTGTCTGGAGGTGTTTGATATTCAGGTAAGATTTTATTAAGTTAATTTATTTTAAAAGAATCTTTTAAAATTTACTTATTAAAAATTTTACATTTGCGTTTTTTTCAATTCCAAATTTTGTTTCTATTTTTTTTAATATTAAGTAAATTTTTGGTGAAAGATTCTGTTTCTGCATTAAACACTATCAAAATTTTAGTCAGTACTCTAGCACTAGGATACGGAGATAAATGGGGTTCGGCTTTAAATCTTTAAAATTTTCAGTCTCATTAAGTTGAAAAATCAAATTGAAAAATTGACAATTTGATTTTTAACTTTTCAATAACATTTAAACATCTAAAAACCTAATCTTTTTTAAAAGCAAAAAACTTTAAATAAATACAAAAATGAGATAGATTGTGAAAGCAAAAGCGGTTTCTTAAATAAAAAACTTTATAAGTTTATTGTGGCCAAAGAAAAAAAAAAATTTTATTGTATGCAATGCAATAAGGGTATGTGTGTGTGTGTGAAGGGTTGGGGGGGGGGCCCGCAGAGAGCTCTAGCATGGGGCCCGGTTTCAAGATGTGGGGGCCATGGTTGCAGTTGCACATGTTCTAAAATTTAATTAAATAAAAAATATTTAAAATAATTTTTGGACTTTACAAGGATGCACCCGAAATTTGGTTATTGTTTATTTCCCCTATTTTAGATTGATGTTTTTGTAAAACAGTGAACCTTGAAAACGTGTGTAATCTTTATTTAACATGCTAGAATCTTAAATGCTAAGTTTCGGAGTAAAACGAAAATTTTCTTTATATTCTGAGTTTCGGTTGCGTCGTGAAAATATCAAACAATTAAGTTCGGACATTTTTAACAAAATTAAAAAATAAATAAATAAAAAAGTTTGTTGAATTGAATAAGTGAATGGTATATAATATATAAAGTATATAAATTTTGTAAATATATATTAGATGTTCAAGAGATAAGTGAAAAAGAATTATCCTCATGTAAGCTACATTTATATATATATATATATATATATATATATATATATATATATATATATATATATATATATATATATATATATATATATATATATATATATATATATATATATATATATATATATATTCATATATATATATATATATATATATATATATATATATATATATATATATATATATATATATATATATATATATATATATATTTATATATTTATATATATATATATATATATATATATATATATATATATATATATATATATATATATATTTATATATTTATATATATATATATATATATATATATATATATATATACAAATAAATTTAAATGTATTCTACAAAATAGAGTGCTCAATGTTCTTAAAAGAACAGAGCAATAATAAATTTTTTCAAACTTTTTTCATTTTACACTGTGTTTCATCAATTAAGATTTTCTGATGAGTCTTAATTGATGAAACACAGTGTAAAATGAAAAAAGTTTGTTAAGTGATTTTCTACTAATTTATATATATATATATATATATATATATATATATATATATATATATATATATATATATATATATATATATATATATATATATATATATATATATATATAAGATTTCACCATCTGCAATGTGTTAGTTATAACTTTTTGTTATGTTTAGCGGAAGTAATGGACAAACTAAGTCAGCAATTTTTTTTGTTGTATTTGTTTTGTTTTTTTTAAGTCCAAATATATTAATACATTTTTTAATTTTCATAAAGTTATATATATTCTATATTCAGCAAGTTAGTTTCTTTTTTAAAGTTTATAGGCTTTTTTATTTTGTTTAGAAACCTTGGAAGATTCAGTTGGTAAACAAAGTTTGAATATATTTCATTTGTGTTTAAAATGCTATACTATTTATAATTAGTATAGCATTTTACTTACAAAAAAGTCTAATCTATGGTTTTTTTGCTTCTTTTAATTAACTTTTTACCCCTTTCCTTAGGTCTTATATTACAACAACTTAGTAAGTAAATATTTTATTTTGTTTTATGATTAATTGTTGTTTGTTGTGTTTTTATTTGTTGCACTGTTATAGAGGTATATTATATTAGATATAAAGAGATAAAACATTACATGATTTATGTGTTAATTAAAATTAATTTTTTATTTATTTTCTATTTTGATGCCGTTTGTTTTCTGCAAACAATATTAAATACTTTTTAGTTTTGTGGTTTAAACTTATTTTATACTTTGCAAGTTAGTTTCTATGTTATTGTTAATAAATTTCTTTTTTAGAAAAATTAGAAAAATCAAACGGTAAGCAAAGTGCGACTATAATACATTTCTGTTTTATTATATTAGCTAAAACATTTCTTTATTATTATTAGTATTATTTTTTTTTTTTTGCCTTCACAGAGGCACCAACAGGATCAATATCAAGTAATGTGTTTTGCATACTTATGTATTTTTTGGGTGTTCTGTGTATTAAACTGAAACATACTTATACAGATTTATAGGTGTTATGCGTATTAAAACATAAGCATTAAATTTTTTTATTTTTTATGCAGTTTTATGAATGTTTGGTTTGTGCTAATTTAAAATTTAATTTTTTTTTGCCTCTCCAACAGCACCCCTGGCAAATATTTCAGGTAGTGTGTTTAGCAAACTTATGTATTGAAACATAAACAAAGATGGCTGCCTAATTGAGTATTCAATCAACTTTTTTTTTAATCCGTGGTTATCGAAACAATCATAAAAGAAAAACGAATAAAGAACCTTAACAATAACACATTATATATTTGTATTTATAAGTTTTAAAGTTAATTTTAAAAATAATGGAAATTACATTAAAAAGTATCGAGAAGTTAATTACAAACAAACTCGAAGAACAAAAAAAGAGTATTTTAAAAGAAACAGAACGCCTGTTAAAAGATCAAGAGAAAAACTTTACTGATATAATTAGTGCTAATTTAAAAATACTCACTAATCGGTTAGACAAAATTGAAAAAGAAGTAGATATAAACAAATCCAAAGTCTTAAGCATAGAAAACGACCTTCGCGATTTTAAAGAAAGTCTTAACTTCCAAGAAACAACTATTATGGAAAAAATAAATAAGATCACGAAGCGTTACGAAAAGGAGATAAACAACTTAAATAAGAAGACACTAGATTGGGAGAATCGATCTCGAAGAAACAACCTAAGATTAGATGGAATATTTGAAAAGCCAAATGAAAATTGGAATGAGTGCGAAAATGCAGTAAAGGAAATGTTTAAAAAACAACTAAAAATTAGTAATGAAATTATCATAGAAAGAGCTCATAGAATAGGCCAACCTAAAGAAGATAAGAAACCAAGAACGATTGTCCTAAAGTTATTAAATTTTCAAGACAAAACAAAAATACTTAACGCTACAAAAAACTTGCGAGGAACTGGGATATATGTTAATGAGGATTTCGCTAAAGAAACGATGGAAAGCCGAAGGATGTTGTGGGAAGAGAAAGTCTTAACTTCCAAGAAACAACTATTATGGAAAAAATAAATAAGATCACGAAGCGTTACGAAAAGGAGATAAACAACTTAAATAAGAAGACACTAGATTGGGAGAATCGATCTCGAAGAAACAACCTAAGATTAGGTCTTTCCTATTTTTCTAACTATAAACACCGACCAACTGCCTAAACAAAAATTAAATAAAATTGTAAAAAAACGTTTTTATACATCATCAAACATTGAGGCCTTTAAAAATCAGCTCTCATTATTACATTGGAAACACTTAAATTTTAATGAAAATGCAAACAACCTTTATGAAAAATTCTATGAAACTTTTATCTCTGTTTACGAGTCTAATTTTCCAATTGTTACAATTACATTAAAAACAAAACACTTTGATAATCCCTGGATTACCAAGGGGTTCAAAAAATCATCCAAAACTAAACAAAGGCTATACATAAAATATCTAAAAACAAAAACACCAGATAGCGAAAAAATTTACAAAGATTACAAAAATCTATTCGAAAAAATCCGAAAAAAATTAAAAAAAAATTACTATTCAAAATTAATTAATAAAGCTAAAAATGACTCAAAACGCACTTGGCAAATATTAAAAGAAATTACAGGAAAACAAAAAACATGCTCAAGCTCTTTGCCACAAATGCTTAAAGTTGATAACAATAGCTTGCATGAGCCACAAATAATAGCTCATGAATTCAATAAATATTTTACTGAAATTGGATCAATCTTATCAAGTAAAATACAAAAAACTCAGACCTCATTTTATGATTTTTTGTTACCTTTTGATAAAAATATTTCCTCTGAAGAATTATCTGCTGAACTATCATTTGATGAGTTTGAGAAAGCTTTTAAATCTTTAAAAAAGAATAAAGCACCTGGTGCAGATGAAATAAACGGGAATATTGTTATAGATTGCTATGAACAATTAAAAAATATTCTTTTCAAAATTTTCAGAGCATCTATTCATCAAGGTATTTTTCCTGAACGTTTAAAACTTGCCAGAGTTACCCCTCTCCATAAAGAAGGCGACAGATCCAATATCAATAATTATCGCCCTATCTCTGTTCTTTCTATATTTTCTAAAATTTTAGAAAGAATTATTTTCAATAGAGTATACAATTATTTTAATTACAACAATTTATTATATAACAATCAGTATGGTTTCAGAAAAGGGAGCTCAACTGAACATGCCATCATTCAATTTATACATAACATCTCTAAATCTTTTGAAAAATCTCAATACACACTAGGTGTCTTTATTGACCTATCAAAAGCTTTTGATACGGTCGATCACCACATCTTAATCCAAAAAATTAAATATTATGGTTTAAACAATAAAATTTTAAAATGGTTTGAAAGCTACTTAACAAATCGAAAGCAACTTGTGTATAGTAATGATGGTTATCAAAGTGAACCCCTGAGCATAACTTGTGGTGTTCCACAAGGCTCTATTCTCGGACCACTACTATTTTTAATCTATGTAAACGATTTAAACAAAGCTTCCAAATTGAAAAGTATAATGTTCGCTGATGATACTAATCTTTTCTTATCCCATACTGATATTTATGAACTCTTTTCAACTACAAACAAAGAACTCAAACACATTTCGAACTGGTTCAAAGCTAATAAATTAACTTTAAATATTAACAAAACAAAATGGATTGTTTTTCACTCCTGCGCAAAAAAACGATTTTTAACAAATAATATGCCTCAAATTTACATTGATGAAACTATAATAAAAAGAGATACTGTTATAAAATTCTTATGTGTTTATCTTGATGAAAATATTACTTGGAGAAAGCATATTGATCATATAAGCACCAAAGTTTCTAAAAATATTGGCATTTTATACAAAGCTCGAAATTATCTAAACAAAAAAAACTTAACCCAGCTCTATTATTCATTTATACATAATTATATAAATTATGCAATCATAGCCTGGGGAAGTACAGAGAAAAGTAAATTACAACATCTTTATCGCCGTCAGAAACATGCAATCCGTGTAGTTAATTATGCGGATCGCTTTTCACGTTCGAAATATTTTTTTGATTATATGAATGTACTAGATGTTTATAAACTTAACATATTTAATGTTTTATGTTTTACTTTTATGTGGAAAAACGATTTATCTTTACTTGTTTTCAATGACCTTTTTTCTTTAAAACCAATAAATAAATACACATTAAGAAGTAATAGTTTTCTAAATGAACCATTTTGTAAAACGAAGTTCAACCAATTCTGTATTGCATATCGAGCACCCCATCTTTGGAATAAAATAGTATTACCAAATTTTGACCCTTCTACTACTCTTCCTGTTTTTAAAACTAAATTAAAAAACTTCATTCTCTGTATGGACAACATTCTAAAATTCTACTAAAAATTTATGTAAAATGTATTTTTCAAATCTTCAGCATATTGAGTATTAAAATGTTAGTATATTGTATATTTGCATTATGTTATATTGTATTAGTATATTGCATATTTGCATTATGTTAAATCTTTGCATTATGTCTTTTTTAAGGTTCCGGTGATAAGATCCTTCTGATCTTCTTTCGAAAACCTAGTCTTATATTGTTAGTACGCTGAATTGTATATACATATATATATATATATATACTCATTTTTTTTTTTTTTTTTTTCTTTTCTTGTAGAAGTCTTAAATATTTTTATGTATCAGACTTATATTATTATATATCACGACTTATATTATTATATATGTATCAGACTTATATTATTATATATCACGACTTATATTATTTTGTATCACGACTAACATTGTAAACTAAAAAAAAAAAAAAAAAAAAAAAAAAAAAAAAAAAAAAAAAAAATTTCAATTGAAACATAAACATTCAATTTTTTTATATTTGTATGAAGTTTCATGACTCTGTAGCTTATGTTAATTTTTTTAACTTTTAATTTTTTTTTTTTTGCCTCCACAGAAGCACCAACGGGATCTGCATCAAGTAATGTATTTTGCATACTTCTGTATTTTTTGGGTGTTGTATTATTCAAGCTGAAACATTACATTTTTAATATTTGTATGCAGTTTCATACCTGTTAAATATATGTTAATTTGAACGTTACTATTTTTTTTTTTTTTTTGCCTTTACAGAAGCACCGTTGGCAGTTGTGTCAGGTAGTGGGTTTAGCATACTTATACAGTTTTATAGGTTTTATGCATATTAATTTTTTATGCATTTAAATTAGCATTAAATTTTTTTCTTTTGTATGCAATTTTATGAATGTTTGGTTTGTGTTAATTTAAACTTTAATTTTTTTTTCGCTTCTCCAACAGCACCCCTTGCAGTTATTTCAGGTAGTGTGTTTTACATACTTATGTAGTTTTGTGGGTGTTATGTGTATTAAAACATAAACATTCAATTTTTTTTATGTTTGAAGTTTCATGACTGTAGTATATGTTAATTTTTTTTTTTTTTTTTTGCCTCCACAGAAGCACCATTGGCATCAGTGTCAGGTAACATGTTTTCACACTTATGCATTTATATGGGTGTTATGTGTATTTAAATATAAACATTAAATTTGTGAAGTTTGTATATAAATACATGATTTAATTGTTTATATATATATATGTTTTTTTCTTAACAGCAACACATTCTTCAGTTGCAACAGGTAAAGTGAATTTTAGTCGTTTTTAAAATTAATATGTTAGTCGTTTTATGCAGAATTTATATATATACATATATATATATATATATATATATATATATATATATATATATATATATATATATATATATATATATATATATATATATATATATATATATATATATATATATATATATATATATATATATATATATAAATATACATATATATATATATATATATATATATATATATATATATATATATATATATACATATATATATATATATATATATATATATATATATATATATATATATATATATATATATATATATATATATATATATATATATATATATATATATATATATATATATATATATATATATATATATATATATATATGCACATATGGTATGTAATCATATTTATTGCTTTTTTTTTAGCATCTTGGGAGAGTTTCCTTTTATATTGCTCCCAGCACCCAGGCCCATTATCACAGAGGGCCTTCTTCCGGTGGTGCCAATATGGGGGAGATGATCCCTCCTTTAGATGGAGGAGACAGACCCCATATGGGGCCACCGGTAGGAGGAGTGGTGCTGGGAGGCAGAATGACCAAAGGTCAAACATTATGAATTTTTATCAGTAGTTTTTTTTTTTTTTTTTGTGTTAATTTATTTATTTGTTGTAAATACATCTTTACGTTTCAAAAAAGTTGTTGTTTAGTTTCGATTTTTGCAAGTATTTTTATTTATTTTTGATATTTTAATTTTTTAAATTTATATTTATTGATTTTTATTTCTGATTTGAGAGTCTAAACTTTCAAAACAACTCTTATGTGGTTAAATGTTAAATAATTTGTCTATTAATTTTTATTTATTTCATATAGTTTTTGATTTCTTGATAGTAAATATTATGTAATTTAGCTACAATTTTTTCTTATTCTATTTGTTTGTTTTATATGCCTAATTGTTGCATTATACACATATTAATGTTTATATTATTCTCTTTAGATTTTTATTATAAGAAAGTAATCATTAAAGATAGCCACATGTGAACTATATGATGTTACATGTTAGACAAGTTTTATTTGCAATTTGCAATTTGGCATGTCGTTTTTTTATTTGTAAATAATTTTACTATTTACTTTAGTTATTATTAGCATTAAAAAATTGTTAAAATTGTTATAATTTTATTTTAATTTATTTCTAAAATATTTTGTTTTATTACTTTAAATGTAATACTTAGTGGTTCAACTTATGTTTAACTTTTAGGTTTTTCTCTGTTTTAAACCAGTTAAGTTAAGACTTTAGGTCAATAATTTTTATTAGAAAACATATAAATAGTCTTATAGAGTTTATATTGATAATTAGAAATGCACATATTATGTTTTTCCATTTTAGATTAGTATAACAAAAAATTAATCAAATCAAGTTTTATCAAACATAGTTTCTTAGTTATGTCAAATAACTTGAGAGCTGAAATAAGAAGAAATTGTCGGAATGAGAGAAATGAGGCTAGGCGAGAAGAACTTAATCGTCGCCAAAATGAAAGAAATGAGGCAAGGCGAGAAGAAATTAATCTTCGCCAAAATGAAAGAAATGAGGCAAGGCGAGAAGAAATTAATCTTCGCCAAAATGAAAGAAATCAGGCTAGGCGAAAAGAAATTAATCGTCGCCAAAATGAAAGAAATCAGGCTAGGAGAGTATTACATAGACGTGGAATGCATTGCATAGCAAGAAATAATGTTTTTATAGTGAGTAATTACCTTGGAGAAATGAACCATATTTGTCAATATTGTGGTGCCAAAAAATTTTTAAATGAAACACATTTTCTGTGCTGCCATTCTGGAAAAGTTGCGTTAGCTCCACTTTCGCCTTATCCACTGCTCATGCACGATTTAATGACAGGCAACCATGTTGATCGTGCTATGAATCAAAATTTCTTCAAGCATATTTGAAGTTATAATGCCTGTTTATCTTTTGCTTCATTCACAGCAAGAATAGCTCCTCCGTCTGATCATGGGCCGCCCTGTTTTAGGATTTGCGGACAAATTGTGCATCGTGTTGGTAATCTGAGACCTGATCAAAATGTTCTGCCTGCATATTGTCAGTTATATGTTTATGATCCTAATACTGCTTTAAATTTTCGAATGGAGCAAAATGATTGTTGCATACGTGAGTTGATGGAATTTTTGCAGACTATAATTAGTCAAGAGAACCCATTTGCTCTTGCATTTAAAAACATGGCTGAAATTGAAGATGAAGAAGTACGTCAAGCAGCTTTAGAAGGTCGACCAACTTCGATTGTTAAAATGTCATTGCTTGAAGGTGGTGATAGACGTCGATACAATCTTCCTTTACATGAGGAAGTTGCCATTGTTTTTGTTGGGGATGATGGTGCTCCACCTCCATCTAGGGAAGTAGTTATATACCCTCGAGGTCAGGCCTTAAAAACAATTTCAAGTATGTCTGCAAATCTAGATCCAATGATATATCCAATATTTTTTCCAAGAGGTGATGCTGGATGGCATGAGCAACTAGAGCATCATCCTGACCGAGCTACACGTGTTAGAAATCGGGTTACTTTGTCTCAGTACTACAATTACAGGCTTTCTGTTAGAGAAACCTTTAATTCTATATTTTATGGTAAGAAGCTTTTTCAACAGTATGCTGTTGATGCATATGTCAAGATTGAAGGTCAGCGCCTTGCTTTTATTAGAAATAACCAAAACAGACTTAGAAGTGAACAATATGATACATTATATGAACATGTAAATAACGCTGCAAATAACCTTAATGTAAGACCAGGTCGTGTTGTTATACTACCATCCTCATATGTTGGAAGTCCAAGAGCTTTAAAAGAAAATTTTGAAGATGCAATGGCAATTATAAAGAGATATGGCAAACCAGATCTTTTTATTACTTTTACCTGCAATCCAAAATGGAAAGAAATTACAGAAAATTTAAATCCAGGTGAGAGCCCATCTGACAGACCTGATTTAGTTTGTCGTGTATTTAAGATGAAACTTAAATGCTTCCTAGATGATATTTTTAAACACGGAGTCTTAGGTAAAGTTATAAGTCATGTACAGGTTATTGAGTTTCAAAAACGTGGTTTGCCACATGTACATATTTTATTGCACTTTGTAAATGATGATAAGCTAGAAACAGCAGAGGATATTGATAGTCTAATATCAGCTGAAATTCCAGATCAAACTGTTGATCCTGAACTTTTTGAAATTATAAAAACATGTATGATTCACGGACCATGTGGAATTTTGAATCCTAATTCTTCTTGCATGAAAGATGGGATTTGCACAAAAAAGTTTCCTAAAGAATTTAATCCTCACACTGTTGCAACTTTCAATGGCTATCCTCACTACAGGCGTTTAGATAATGGTAGAGTAGTCGTTATAAAAGGTAACCAAGTTGATAATCGATGGGTTGTACCCTACAACCCTTGGTTATCTAAAAAATACCAAGCACATATTAATGTTGAAGCTTGCATGTCTATTAAGTCAGTTATGTATTTATATAAATAATTCTATAAGGGGCATGATTGTGCTCATGTGTTAATTAATGAAAGTCTTGACCATGATGAAATTAACACATATTTAAATTGTCGCTTTGTTTCTGCACCAGAGGCTCTTTGGCGAATATTTGAGTATTCCATAAGTGATATGTCACATACTATTATCCGCCTTCAAGTCCACCTTCCTAATAATCAGAGGGTATATTTTAACGAAAGAGAAGAACGAGTAGCTATAGATCGTGCTGCACAGCGTGACACTCACCTAACCGCTTGGTTTAAATTAAATGCTGAGATAAATGAAGAACGTCAGTATTCTTATGTTGAAATTCCGTATCACTTTGTTTTTGATGGTAAAAATTGCAAGTGGAAAGTAAGACAAAGAGGCAGTGATAAGGTGATTGTGCGAATGTATATAAAGTCAATCTAACCAGTGAAGTATTTTTTCTTAGATTGTTGCTTTTGCATGTAAAAGGTGCAATGTCTTTTGAGGATTTGCGTACTATTCATGCCACTGTTTTTAATACATTTCGTGAAGCATGTTATCGATTAGGTCTATTGCAAGATGACATTGAATGGAGAAATACATTAACTGAAGCTGTAGCAACTCGAATGCCTAAACAAATTAGGCAACTGTTTTCCATCATATTGACTTTATGTGAACCTGATGATCCTTTACACCTTTGGAATACATTTAAAGATTATATGATTGAGGATTACATACACCATTCAATGCCAGTTGTACTTGCTGAACAGACTGCTCTTCGTCAAATTGAATCTATAATTAATCAGAGTGGTAAAACTTTAACTGATTATAATTTGCCTACATTAGATCAGTTATTAGATAATGTCCTAGAAAATGATGATGGAGATATTCAGGTATTTATTGATGAAGCAAATCGAGTTAGACCATTATTAAACGATAATCAGCGTAATGTAGCTGATGCAATCCTTGCTGCACTTAGTGAAGAACCTAATAATGAAAATAAGCATTCAAGATTTTTCTTTATTGATAGGCCTGCCGGTTGTGGTAAAACATTTACTTACAATTATTTAATTGCTGAAACACGCAGCAGGCATATTAGAACTGCAACAGCTGCATGGACAGGAATAGCTGCAACTCTTTTTAAGAATGGATGTACATTGCACGGCTTATTCAAACTTCCTGTTCCAATTTTGGAAACTAGCACATGTAATGTAACTCCAAACTCCATTCATGGTAGATTCCTGAGACAAGTTAGTTTATATTTACTCGATGAAGCATCTATGATACCCAAACATGCTTTGAGTGCCATTGATAAGTTATTACAAGATATTTGTAATAATAAGTTTCCTTTTGGTGGTAAAGTTATTCTTATGGGTGGAGATTTTCGACAAATACTTCCAGTTGTGAAGAGAAGTCGACCAGCAGATGTTGTAGAATCATGTATAAAGTGTTCTGAACATTGGCAATATGTGCAAAGGTTTTCATTAACTGAAAATATGAGGGTTCAGATAGGAGAAGAAGAATTTTCTCAATGGCTTTTAAAGCTTGGAAGTGGAACATTACCTGTCAAGCCTGAAGATCCTTTGCAAGAGTGTATTGAAATACCTGAGCAGTGTTTTCTCAATGATAATGAATCTATTGTGGAAAAGATTTTTGGTGGTGCAGAAGAAGCTGATTATGCAAAACGTGCTATTTTAACACCAACAAATGTTGATTCATTGGCAATAAATGAAGAAGTCCTTCATCGATTACCGGGTGATGTTAAAACTTATTTAAGTTCAGATAGCATTGAAACTGATGATCATAATGAAATTTATAATTTTCCAGTTGAGTTTTTAAATACTTTGACTCCATCAGGTATGCCTGTTCAATGCCTGTTCATTGCCTGTTCATAAAGTTGAAAATTGGTGCTGTTATAATGCTACTTAGAAATTTAGATTTCAAAGGTGGACTTTGTAATGGAACACGTTTGATGGTGCGTGCACTACACAACAATTACATTGATGGTGAGGTTCTAACAGGTGTATCAGCTGGTAACAGGGTATTTGTTCCTCGAGTTCAATTAGCTCCATCAGATTCAAATTTACCTTTTACACTTAAACATCGTCAATTTCCAGTTAGGTTAGCATACTCAATGACCATAAATAAAAGTCAAGGTCAAACATTTGATAAAGTTGGTGTTTATCTCAAAAAGCCTTGCTTTTCACACGGCCAATTATATGTTGCATGTTCAAGAACAAAATCTTTTAATAGTTTGTTTTTTAAAGTTGATAAACATGCATTACAAGGTATGTCATTTAACAAATATTACACAAATAATGTTGTGTTTACAAATGTTTTTAATTTATAATTTTGACAAGTTTGTTTATGTTTTTTTTCTTTGCTATATATGTTTATATATGTGAATATATGTTTTTACTTATATATAGATGTTTGTGTTTGTATATGTTTGTTTATATGTGTTTAAGTTTATATTATGTTGTTTCCATGTTTGAAAAGTGGTGTTACTTGGCCAAGCCAAGTGGTGTTACTAATTAGTGGTGTTACTTGGCACTTAATGCCATGCGGTGTTACTAAATTGTGGTGTTACTTGGCAGCGTTTAGTGCCAAGCGGTGTTACAAGTGTTTAGCTAGGTTGTGTTGTCTAGCTTTTTTAATTATTTTGGAAACACGTAATATCTGAATACATTGTGTAATGTGTACTTACAAATGTCATATGTTGTGTATTATTCAGTAGCGTAGGCAGGATTTTTTGATGCTTCAGGTTTTACTTTTATTTTCAGGCTCTTTCATTACTTTCAGACTCTTTCATTACTTTCAGACTCTTTTATTACTTTTATTACTTTGAGACTCTTTCATTACTTTCAGACTCTTTCATTACTTTCAGACTCTTTTATTACTTTTATTACTTTCAGACTCTTTCATTACTTTCAAACTCTTTCATTACTTTCAGACTCTTTTATTACTTTCAGACTCTTTTATTACTTTCATTACTTTCAGACTATTTCATTACTTTCAGACTATTTCATTACTTTCAAACTCTTTCATAACTTTCAGACTCTTTCAACTAAACTTAATTGTGTTCATGTTTGTCAAATTCAAATAATTTGTAAAATATGGATGTGGTTGGGGCTTGAAAACAAATATGTTTTAAAAAGGTTTGCTTTCCTCCCTTGAATTTAGCTGCCAATTAGTTAAAAAAGTATTTTTTTTAAGCATATAATAATAATCTTATTCATTAACAGGTTTAAATTTCTTATAAAACAACAAAAGTCCTGCCTACACCACTGGAATTTTTGTTTGTCATTGTGTAATGTTTCTGTTGTGATGTTTTGTGTTGATAGACAGCTTGGCTTACCTTCACGCTGGTGTCTATCGTTAAAAATGATTATTAGCTAGCTTCATTACTGAAACTACTCCTTCTAATCATTCACTAAAAGCCAAGAAATATTTTTTCGAATAAATGCCTAATTTTTTTATCTCACTGTGACATCTTTAGCATTGTTGATAAAATAGCTTTTTAAATAAAGAGTGTTTCCAGCCTTCCAATTAAATACTAGAGACTTCCACAAAAGCGATCTCACAAAGTAAGTTTCTTATTTAGTGTTTGATAATTGACTAAGTTTCGTCACCTTTTATATTTTTTTTACATCTTATTATGTAATTTTTCAACATTTAGACAACTTTTAAATAACTTTAAACAACTTTTATATGTGTATCAGTGTTTTATATAACAATATTTTTCTTCATTTTATAGGTAGATTTCCTGTTATAACTGGTTTAAAAATTGTTAATCGTTAATCATTTTTTAAAAGCGTTTACTTTTTCTAAAGACGTATTACTAATCTTCATACCATTTACTAAAAGCTATCTTCTCTATATATTATTGCCGAACTTAATAGTGTTAGTAGCGCTCTTTCGAGCGTGTTTGACAAACCCATGGCAACTATTGCAACCAAAGTAATGGCGAGGAAGAGTCTCAGCACTTTTTGATAAGTAAACGTGAACAAAAGTGTATGCAAATATCTAACTAACGTAAACTTCAAAATATGAAATGTTAAAACATACAAAAACATGTCAAGTTTTACAGTTTTACTTTCACTTAAAAACAGCATTGCGGCAACGTCTCTTTAATTTTGATCGATTTACAAAGTCTTTTATTTATTATATATTTTTGAAATTTTCGTCAAAATGCCGTGGTTAGCTCGCTGAGCTTCTGATCAGAAAACCTGTGGTTTGAATCCTACCATAGTCTATATAGTTTTATTTATTTTTGGTTTACTAAACTGCGACATAAAGTCTTGAAACACTTAGTTTATTTCTTTTTTTTTTTTTTTTTTTTTTTTTTCTTTTTCGATTTTTCTAAAATACAAAAAAAAAGCACTTTTAAAGATTTATCATCATCATCATCATCATCATCATCATCATCATCATCATCATCATCATCACTATATAATAATAAGGAACTTAATAGTAGTAGTGCCCTTTCGAGCACGTTTGACACAAAACCCAACGCAGCCATTGCAACCGAGGTACTGGCGAGAAAGAGTCGCAGCACCTTTTTATAAGAAAACATTAACGAAAGTGTGTGCTAACTAACGTAAACTTTTATTTATTATAATTTTAAATTTATTATTTGTCATGTTATTTTAAGTCGTATTAGCGCAAAGAAATTGGGTATATAACATGTAAATATTTAGAACTATAAAGTTGTTTTGTTTTGCATTTTAAATAACAATAATTTTATTAAAAAAAGCAAGCTGATGATTTGAACTTGCCACGCGGCGACCTAGAATTTTTTTAAAACAGTGAGGGGGTTTTAAAAAAAAACATTCTTATTTAAAAAAACTTTAAAAATCTTAAATTTATTTTTAAAATAAATTATTTTATTGAACTTATTATTTTTCAAAATAATAAAACGTTAAAACTATTTAATTTAAAATAATAAAAATATTTAGAATTTTACAGTTACTTATTTACGCCCCCGTTAAATATTCTAAACCGAGTGCGCAACTATGACAGAATTTAGAAAACCAATAAAATTGTAAGATACTCTGTTTAATATTGGAAGAGTCTACTCGGATGCTATAAACTAATGGACTCTATTATGTTTCTTTTTGTAATGTTTTTCTAACGGTTAACAAATAAAAGCAAAGCGGAGATACATCAACTGAGGGTTTAGGTTTGGGCAGGCATTCTTTTAAATTAAAGAAAAGAGTTTTGATACTTATTTAAATAGGGTTAATAAAATATTTTAAATTATATATATTATATTTAAAAAATTATAAAACTAAATTACATATGATTTTTAGATGAAACAGTAAAAATAATTGTTTAAAATACGTGCGTGCAAATAATTCCTACCAGTACTAAACGTAAAAAAACGCTTACAAACACCAAAAGTATATTTACCGTGAATAAAATTAAGTTCAAAGAAAAATTGGAAGAAATGTTTAAAACTGTTTCAATAATAACATTTATTTTTAATTATTTTTGTTGTAAGTTGAGATGAAAAAAAAGGTCACTGGAATATGAACTCCCGGGGTGAGATGACTATATCTGTCTAAGTGTTGCGCGGCTACCAATTAGCCCATAAACGTATTCTCTATTTAGAATTTGAGATAATTTATGACGCATAAGAAGTGTAATTAAAAATTCAAAACCAAGTTTGGAACAACTGAATTTAAAAAAAATCTAATTAGATGTGTATATGTTATGAACGTTAACTAAGGCGTACTTTAACGGCATCACGTGCTGAATGTTTTAGCATTTTTCAAAGTTCGTAGTCTTTTTTACGTTTTTTCTTATTAAAATCTTTATAATCGGCATAATATTAAAAGCGTTTAAAGTTTTTTAAAGAACATTATAACGTTATATAATGAAATTTTTTTGTCATATCAAAAAGTATAGTTTTTTATATGTACATAGTTTTTAAAACGGTTTTAAAAAAATATTGAGGTAAGGAATAAGTATAGAAAAGGTCGGTGTGGAATAGATTTACTAAGACCCTTATTTTACATCCTGATAGCTATAGAAATGATCAGAGAAGTATAAAAATGGTCGGTTCGGTAAAGACCCGTACTTTACGGGTCCGCCCAGCTAGTCTTTAATATTGCTTAATTATTCTGCTAAAAGTGCCATGTGATGTATTAACATTTTTTGCAGTTTTCTCATTAAAATGTTTGTTCATTCATTACTATAATTTTACAATTCGTTATATTATCAATAATTTTTCCTGTCAATTTGATTGTTTTTTGAAAATATTGTTGTTAATTAGATTAAAACAATATTTCACAACTCATTTAACTCATTTTTCTTTTTCATATTGCGCAATTTTTTAAATACTTTTAACAATTTAAATAAAAATTCTCAAATCATTATAAAATAGCTTGCATATAAGTGCAGAGTTTTAATCAAGGAAAAAGGAAATTTTAAAGAAAGTTTAAAATAATAGAGTAATTTGGTAATTTTGGCCTATGTAATTGTTTTAGACTAGCTGAGATCGGACCCGTAAAAATATGGGTCTTTGTATATCTATCCAACCAAACTTTTTTATAACTTTTCCTTATATATCCTAGTTTTCCCGATCCGTAAAATACAGATCTTTACCAATTTACACATCTATTCCTTGCCGATTATTTCTATACCTATTCCTTATTTACTTCAATGTTTTTTAGTCAAATAATTTATTTTGAAAAAAAATTTAAAAGCAAAAAACTTAACATGCGCACCTTTTCCGCATACTTAGGGCTTATAAGAGACTTAAAATTAGGTTTTTTTTCTGCTAAATGCATTTCATTGATAGCTCAGTGGTTAAATGCGCTGTCTCAGTGTTCTTTTGGAGGGTTTAAGACCTAGTCTTAACGCAATGAATTTTGAAATGTTTTCAATCTTACATATATATTCACTTAAATATTCATAGCAAAAATTAATAATATAGAAACAAAGAATTCTAAAACTTTAAATGAAATTTTCAAGTCTTCTGGTTTTATAGATATATAGATATACGCGTTTATTTCATATAATGCCTGCAAACTCAATATATGCTAAAGACGTTTACACTTGCATATGTCTGTACGTAACGCTATACAAATGGAACTAAGAAGATCTAAGCAGATTGAAACACTAAACCAAAATTATAAAAAAAAAATTATTCTTATGATTAAGAAATAAAGAATAATGTTAAACGCTTTTCTAGAAGTTAAGTCAAGTAGTTTGTGGCAAAATAACCCTTCATGCGTCAAGTTTCCTTTTGAATTTATCTGACATTTTTTAAATTAGTTTTTATTATGTTGCATACAAATGCATAAAAATATATAACACTGGTACAAATATATTATTTTCATGGAAAAAAGACTGTGTTTATTACAATAGAAATAAATAAATTAATTTTGACTTTATTAGAATATATCCCACAATAATATATTCCACATAACTTTAATAGAGTTTTTTAAAAAAGTTGAACAAAATCTTATTAACCAATTTACATAGCCTAAAATTTCTATACCTTTTTTACTTCAATATTTTTTAGTAAAATAATTTATTTTGAAAAAAAAATCCAAACTTAACATGCACACCTTTTCCGCAAACGTAGAGCTTATGAAAGTCTTATAATTAGGTTTCTTTTTTTGCTAAATGCATTTTATTGAGAACACAGTGGTTAAATGCCCTGTCATCAGTGTCGTTTTGTAGGGTTTAAAACCTCCTCTTAGCGTAATAAATTTTGAATTTTTTTTAATCTTCTTTATATATTTTTAGCAAAAAAATAAGAACATAGAAAAAAAATTCATAAAGTTTAAAATAAAATTTTCAAGTATTCTCATTTTATAGATATACGCGCTTGTTCCATAAAATGCCTCAAACTCAACATAAAGACGTTTAAATTTACATAAATTTTTACGTAACTCTAAACAAATAAAATAAGGAAGATTTAAGAGCACTAAACCAAAGTAAGGAAAAAAAAATTCTTATGATTAAGAAGTAAAAAAATAATATTAAACGCTCATCTAAAAGTTAAGCCAAATGCGTCATGTTTCCTTTTGCATTTAATTTATATGTTTTTACAAATGCATAAAAAAAGATAAAACTTGTACAGATATATCATTTTCACGAGATTTAAGAGATTGTATTTAATATAATTGTAAAAAATAAATAGTTTTTGGGCTATCTATAAAGGACGCCACTCTTTTTTAGCCAAATTTTTACCCTCTCCTCCTTTTGTCACCGGTTGCCATTTTTCCCTATACCCCCTTAAAAAAGACGTCACAAAATCCTGACCTCCTTCCCGCAATTTTAACCCTCCAAAAATTATTTCATCTTGCAATGATGTTTCAATCTGCTGCTACACCTTTGAAAAATAAAATAAAAGTATTCTCATACATTATCTTCTTGAAAACACATGTTTACGTAGTTCTCCATGTTAATTAAACTAAAAAAAAAAATCTTTAAAGTGACGTTCTTTTCTGACAAACTCCCTCCCTCCCCTTGTTCTTTTTTGTCCATTTTATCTTGAACCCCCCTACTCCCTCTTTGGATGACGTCCTTAATGAATGGCCACTTTTGTCTTTATTAGAAAATATCCCATAAAAATGTACTCTATACATCTTAATAGATGGGAAAAAAAGACACAAAAAACTTTACGTTGAATTTGTGTTAATAAGAATCCTAATTTCACTAAAATCGACACGACGAAATCACAATATTCATGATTAAACAAGGTAAACTAAGTTGTTCCGAACTATCCGATATTATACGTGATCAGAATGAAACCATTCAACGTCTTATAAAAAGAATTGAATTATTAGAATCGAAAAAAGAAACCGAAAAGTGTTTAGTTACATTTTGGTCAAATCTTAATAATAAAAATAAATCTGCAGAAAAAGCTTTTGTTGTTAACTTAATTTAAAAAACTATATTATCTGAACAGGAAGAGAAAAAAAAGCGTGAAAAGAACCTTATTGTTTTTGGAATTCCAGAATCAAATAATTTAAATGAACTTGAAAAAAACAACGACGACAAAAAAATAATTAACATGATATTTGAGGAAATTGGAAAAGGCAATGAAAAACCTATTAAAATAATAAGAATAAAAAACAAAAAAGACACAAAAACTCCTCTGCCTATTATTGCCGTACTTCCTGAAAACTGCGAACGCAATAAAGTTTTACTTGCATCAAGGGAATTACGCTAAAACGTAAATTATACAAATGTCTTTATTAATCCAGATATGACTCTCACCGAAAGGCAAATCGATTCTCAACTAAGAAAGGAAAGAAATAAAAATAACCAGAAATTGAACTAAACTCACCCTTTC